TACCGTTACAAAGTCGTTCGTCGCTTAAAATACCGCAAGCGTCGCGATGTCGATGAGCTCCCACAGAACGAATATCTCCCACCTGCCGAAGAGGCCCAAGAAACAGTTGTCGAAGAAGTTAGTGAACCCGCTGCTGAAGTAAAGACTGAATTGGCTGATGATGGTTACCGTTACAAAGTCGTACGACGCCTGAAATACCGCAAGCGTCGCGATGTCGATGAGCTGCCACAAAACGAATATCTCCCACCTGGAGAAGAGGCCCAAGAATCCGCAGTCGAAGAAGTTTCTGAACCCGCTGCAGAAGTAAAGACTGAACTGGCTGACGATGGTTACCGTTACAAAGTCGTTCGTCGCTTGAAATACCGCAAGCGTCGCGATGTCGATGAGCTCCCACAGAACGAATATCTGCCACCTGCCGAAGAGGCCCAAGAAACCGCTGTCGAAGAAGCTANCCCAAGTGATCGCTGTGGAGGAAGCCACTGAACCCGCTGCTGAAGTAAGGACTGAATTGGCTGATGATGGGTACCGTTACAAAGTCGTTCGTCGCTTGAAATACCGCAAGCGTCGCGATGTCGATGAGCTCCCACAGAACGAATATCTCCCACCTGCCGAAGAAGGCCAAGAAACGGCTGTTGAAGAAGTTAGTGAACCCGCTGCTGAAGTAAAGACTGAATTGGCTGATGACGGTTACCGTTACAAAGTCGTTCGTCGCCTCAAATACCGCAAACGTCGCGATGTTGATGAGCTGCCACAAAACGAATATCTCCCACCTGCCGAAGAGGCCCAAGAAACCGCTGTCGAAGAAGTTTCTGAACCCGCTGCTGAAGTAAAGACTGAATTGGCTGATGATGGTTACCGTTACAAAGTCGTTCGTCGCTTGAAATACCGCAAGCGTCGCGATGTCGATGAGCTCCCACAGAACGAATATCTGCCACCTGCCGAAGAGGTCCAAGAAACCGCTGTCGAAGAAGCTAGTGAGCCCGCTGCTGAAGTGAAGACTGAATTGGCTGATGATGGCTACCGTTACAAAGTTGTCCGTCGCTTGAAATACCGCAAGCGTCGCGATGTCGATGAGCTCCCACAGAACGAATATCTGCCACCTGCCGAAGAGGTCCAAGAAACCGCTGTCGAAGAAGCTAGTGAGCCCGCTGCAGAAGTGAAGACTGAATTGGCTGATGATGGCTACCGTTACAAAGTTGTCCGTCGCTTGAAATACCGCAAGCGCCGTGATGTCGATGAGCTGCCACAGAACGAATATCTCCCACCTGCCGAGGAAGCCCAAGAAACAGTTGTCGCAGAAGTCACAGAACCTGCAGCTGAGGAACAAACCGAGTTAGCTGATGATGGTTACCGTTACAAAGTCGTCCGTCGCTTGAAATACCGCAAGCGCCGTGATGTCGATGAGCTGCCACAGAACGAATATCTCCCACCTGCCGAAGAGGCCCAAGAAACCGCTGTCGAAGAAGTTTCTGAACCCGCTGCTGAAGTAAAGACTGAGTTGGCTGATGATGGTTACCGTTACAAAGTCGTCCATCGCCTGAAATATCGCAAGCGTCGCGATGTCGATGAGCTCCCACAGAATGAATATCTCCCACCTGCCGGAGAGGCCCAAGAAACCGCTGTCGAAGTAGTCGCAGAACCTGCTGCTGAGGAACAAACTAAATTGGCTGATGATGGCTACCGTTACAAAGTCGTTCGTCGCTTGAAATACCGCAAGCGTCGCGATGTCGATGAGCTCCCACAGAATGAATATCTCCCACCTGCCGAGGAAGCCCAAGAAACAGTTGTGGAAGAAGCTAGTGAGCCCGCTGCCGAAGTAAAGACTGAATTGGCTGATGATGGTTACCGTTACAAAGTTGTCCGTCGCCTGAAATACCGCAAGCGCCGTGATGTTGATGAGCTGCCACAGAATGAATATCTTCCACCTGCAGGGGAAGTTCAGGAAACAGCTGTTGCTGAGGTCTCTGAACCCGCGCCAGAAGATGCTACCGTTTTGGCTAATGACGGTTACCGTTACAAAGTCGTCCGTCGCTTGAAATACCGCAAGCGTCGCGATGTCGATGAGCTCCCACAGAATGAATATCTTCCACCTGCCGGAGAGGCCCAAGAAACCGCTGTCGAAGAAGTCGCAGAACCTGCTGCTGAGGAACAAACTGAGTTAGCTGATGATGGTTACCGTTACAAAGTCGTCCGTCGCTTGAAATACCGCAAGCGTCGCGATGTTGATGAGCTGCCACAGAACGAATATCTCCCACCTGCCGAAGAGGCCCAAGAAACCGCTGTCGAAGAAGTTTCTGAACCCGCTGCTGAAGTAAAGACTGAATTGGCTGATGATGGTTACCGTTACAAAGTCGTTCGTCGCTTGAAATACCGCAAGCGTCGCGATGTCGATGAGCTCCCACAGAACGAATATCTCCCACCTGCCGAAGAGGCCCAAGAAACCGCTGTCGAAGAAGTCTCTGAACCCGCTGCTGAGGTAAAGACTGAATTGGCTGATGATGGTTACCGTTACAAAGTCGTACGACGCCTGAAATACCGCAAGCGTCGCGATGTCGATGAGCTCCCACAGAACGAATATCTCCCACCTGCCGAAGAGGCCCAAGAAACCGCTGTCGAAGAAGTCTCTGAACCCGCTGCTGAAGTAAAGACTGAATTGGCTGATGATGGTTACCGTTACAAAGTCGTTCGTCGCTTAAAATACCGCAAGCGTCGCGATGTCGATGAGCTCCCACAGAACGAATATCTCCCACCTGCCGAAGAGGCCCAAGAAACAGTTGTCGAAGAAGTTAGTGAACCCGCTGCTGAAGTAAAGACTGAATTGGCTGATGATGGTTACCGTTACAAAGTCGTACGACGCCTGAAATACCGCAAGCGTCGCGATGTCGATGAGCTCCCACAGAACGAATATCTCCCACCTGCCGAAGAGGCCCAAGAAACCGTTGTCGAAGAAGTTACTGAACCCGCTGCTGAAGTAAAGACTGAATTGGCTGATGATGGCTACCGTTACAAAGTTGTCCGTCGCCTGAAATACCGCAAGCGCCGTGATGTCGATGAGCTGCCACAGAACGAATATCTCCCACCTGCCGAGGAAGCCCAAGAAACAGTTGTCGCAGAAGTCACAGAACCTGCAGCTGAGGAACAAACCGAGTTAGCTGATGATGGTTACCGTTACAAAGTCGTCCGTCGCTTGAAATACCGCAAGCGCCGTGATGTTGATGAGCTGCCACAGAACGAATATCTCCCACCTGCCGAAGAGGCCCAAGAAACCGCTGTCGAAGAAGTTTCTGAACCCGCTGCTGAAGCAAAGACTGAATTAGCTGATGATGGTTACCGTTACAAAGTCTTTCGTCGCCTGAAATATCGCAAGCGTCGCGATGTCGATGAGCTCCCACAGAATGAATATCTCCCACCTGCCGGAGAGGCCCAAGAAACCGCTGTCGAAGAAGTTATTGAACCCGCTGCTGAAGTAAAGACTGAATTGGCTGATGATGGTTACCGTTACAAAGTCTTTCGTCGCCTGAAATATCGCAAGCGTCGCGATGTCGATGAGCTCCCACAGAACGAATATCTCCCACCTGCGGAAGAGGCCCAAGAAACAGTTGTCGAAGAAGCTAGTGAGCCCGCTGCTGAATTAAAGACTGAGTTGGCTGATGATGGTTACCGTTACAAAGTCGTCCGTCGCCTGAAATACCGCAAGCGCCGTGATGTTGATGAGCTGCCACAGAATGAATATCTTCCACCTGCAGAGCAAGTTCAGGAAACAGCTGTTGCTGAGGTCTCTGAACCAGCGCCAGAAGATGCTACCGTTTTGGCTAATGACGGTTACCGTTACAAAGTAGTACGTCGCTTAAAATATCGTCATCGGCGTGATGTCAGTGAACTGGCGCCGACTAATGAGTATTTACCACCAACAGAGGAAGTACAAGTGGTGGCGGAGCAACAACCGGAGGAAGAAACAGCTGTGCTCGCTAATGATGGTTATCGATACAAAGCTGTGCGCCGGTTGAAGTATCGTCGTCATTAGGGAAATCAATCGCATCTTAATATAGGAAATTCGAAAAAGCTATTATTCATGTACATAATATTCATAGGCAAAGGTATTCACATTAGATATGAAGGAAAGAATAAGAAAACAAAAAAAAAAAACGAAAAAATTCAAATACGCATTTAAGAATTAAATAAAAACATGACGAAAAATTACAAAAAAAAAATCGTGTTCATTAATTGTTAAGATAAGTAATAGACGTTGGTTGCAAAAATCGTTTGCACACATATATATGTATACATGCCGATACATACAAACATTAGTATCTATGTATACACCCATATGTATGTAAATATGTATGCCTAGTTATGGTGCTTATCTTATCACTTCCAGTGTGCAACACTTACTGGAATGCTTATCTGACTTTTGCTTGAGAAGCATTGACTCAGTTTGGCGCTTTTAACTTAGTTCATCGAAGACCATCATAGTTAACCCATTAAAATCTACGAACGACTCGTGCTTTAATTGCAACGAAGATAATTTTTCCAGTTAAACATATTTTAGAAAAATATTAATAAAATGCAGCTGGTGAAGAAAAGTTCAACATATTTGGTGATATTTTTGGGTAACGCAATTTTTTTTTCATTGAAAAAATTATATCACCTGAATTGGGATCCGTGTAAAACTTAGCTTCTACTAGTATAAGTAAATGTGATTGTGTTTGTGAGTGACCTAAATATGTACTTTTGTACGTACATATATGTTTGTATATGAGGGTGGTCCAAAAATGCATGTAAAAAAAAAGTAAAGTCGGAATTTATATGGTTAAATAAACAAATGGGTACTATTATCGAAAGTCTCTTGAAGAGAACAAGAGTTTTCCGATCGAAAAATATTTATTTTCAAGAATTCTATACCATTTCTACGAAAAGTTGTTTTTCCCCCATATAAAATACATGGAAAACTTTGGGCGCTTTGAGCGACCTCTAAATATTTTTTGATTTCAAAATAAAAAAATAAGGCTAGGGGGTGAGAGCATAAAAATTCCGACTTTACTTTTTCACATGCATTTTTGGACCCCCCCTAATGTACATATATGTATGTATACACATACTATATACAAAAACTACCGTTTTTTTAACAATTGCGTTCACTTGTTTCGTTCAACTCTACAAAAATGTTTTTGTTATCAAATTGGCTTGTGTTTATTTAGAAAAGATAGTGACTCATACGATGTTTCAAGTATTTCTAGTAAATGAAATTTATTGTTAGTCACTTAAGGCAAGAAAAACGTAATAGTTGGTTACCTCTTTCATAAAAATATTCGCGGAGTCAAGTGAGGTGTATTTGACATCCATATCTATGGAGAGTTTAGTGGCTGGAATGCATGTAGAATTATGAGGTCATCGATAAATTTGTAGATCAAAGTGTGCCACAAATAATGTTTAAACAAAATTAATGATAATTTCGTATTAATAAAAAAAATTACGTTACAAAATGAATGAGATTTAAAAATAAATTAAAGTAATTTAAACAAAATAAAATAAAATAAATGAAATAAAAAAAATGAACATAATATTTATGTGCGCTAGGTTGGTCCAAGAGTTTTTTTACCAGCCACTGCTCAGAACTAAAGTATATCGAAAATAAGGTGACCCGTATTTTTTTCTTTTGAAATCAGTTACTACTTAACTGTCGCGTAGCAGAGTGGCACAAACACGAAATTTTCTATTCAAAAAGGTCTATAGCCTACACTTCTTGACGGATTTTCATTTTTTTCTTTTGAATTGAAAGACAATTAAATTCTTTAGAGGTTTAAGGAGCCAATCTTTAATATTATTTGTTTATATTGAATTTTTTAGTGCAAAGTGCAGGGAAAGTAGGAATTTTGAAGAAAATCGATTTTCCCGTCCCTGTTAACGAATGTTACTTAATGAAAACTAGTGGAATGAAATTATAAGGCTGCTCTAAGAGGCAGAAATCACAAGTAAAATTTTAATTTTTTTTTTTAATTTTTAGAAAAATTTTAGGTTTGTAGTTTTATAACACAATAAATTAAAGTTTTTATACCATGAAATGCAAGTTTTAAGTGGTTATGAAATTATGTTGATTTTTAATAATTTTTTTGCTGGCATTTCGAGCTCATTTTACGTATGTGGAAGAAAATGCCTGAACTGAATTCTTAGTCACTGAAAACTTGCACTTTATTATCCTAAAATTTAATGGGCTATCCAACTGCATACCTAAAATTTTTTTATAAATTAAAAAAAAAATATATTTATTTATAAAGTTTAAAATTTTTCTTGTGCAATTTTGTTTTGTTTAATTATTTTCAATTAGTTTTTATGATAAAATATTCATCGGCCTTAACAGCAAAGATTTTCAGCTGTAATATTTACTCTGTCGCCAACCTGAGGCTCTCTGTTATGGCGTAAATAAAAATGGTCAAAGGAGTTTCTGAAATCTTACGCAATCATTTTTAAATACTTTTTAATACATCGAGTACCAGTATACAGCTACATTGTAGACATTTAAAAATCTAATGAATGATGATCTAATCGAAGTCGGAGGACGAGAAAATTATACACCTTTCTTTGAATGTCTGCATGCTATTTTGAGACATATTTGCTTGGCGTTGGCCACATAGAATATACTCCATTTAGAACTTTGATGTCACCAAAACGTACTCGCATCTCTTGGCGGAAATTCTTTCCAAAAAAATCAACGTCATCATCAGTTGGCATCATCTTATCACATCAGCCTCGACCTGCTTTTACGTGCCTAGTTTTCACATATCCATAACGCCAAAGAAAATTTCTGAGTAAAGCACCAGCAGATTATGCAGCCAGAAAGCAATGTTTCTCCTTACGATTTATCACTTTCTGTAACCATCGCATTAGTTTTAGTATTCTTAAAAAACTCAGCAATATCCGCCTTGGGTTAAAGGCAAGTACCCTGGAAATCGACCAAACCCAACCTGAACTGTTTAATTTA